TAATACAGTTTGAGTTAGCATATGTTCAAACAAATGGACAACCAGCCCTTCAAACCTGTGGATTCCACATTCACAGATTCAACCAATCACAAATCAAAAATACTCAAAAAAATTCCAGAAAGTTCCAAAGAACAAAACTTGAATATGCCACACACAGCAACTAAATCATTTACATTGTATTAGGTATTATAAGTAATTTAGAGATGATATGATAGAATATGCACAGGTTACATGAAATATTATGCTATTTTGCATAAGTGACTTCAGCATTTATGAATTTTGGTATCTGAGGGGGGTTCTGGACCAGTCCCCCATGGATACCAAGTGATTATTGTACTGTGTTCTTTAAGTACCACTTGTTTATTTATTCAGTCAACATACATTTATCAAGTACCTACACCAAGTACTGTTGGATACAACATCAAACTAAACAAACTACCCATTTTCATAGACGTTATGCTTATTGAAAGGCAATACCAATTTGATTTTGCAATTATGAGGCTTTTAATAAACCCTGAAACTTGGTATGAGCAAATACGGTTCCTTAACCATACATACTATTAAAGAGACTAAACAAAATCATGAAGCAATCATGGAGCATGGAGGAAAGATGCTAAGGGAGAAAAGAGGAAGTGTGTGGCAAAGGTAAAATGCATATTACTGCATATGTGTTTTCTGCTCAACTTTCATTAAACAGTTAACCCCTATCTCATATAAACCATTTCATAAAACAGAGAAAAGGGAAGGATGTTCAACCAGTCTAATGAGGTTAATATAACATTGCCTACAAACCACATAGGTGCAATACAAAAGAAAAAAAAAAAGGAAAGAAAACAAAACTATAGGTCTGTTACTTATGGCCATATACAGAAATTAAAGAAAAAGATTAAAAATAAATAAAAAGTAGTTAAATTCCACAGGATGTTAACAAAAGGCAGTAATATATCTTCATCAAGTTGGATTTATCTACAGAATACAAGGATGGTTTAATATAAGAAATATCGGTAATGAAATTCACCATCTTCATGAACTAAAGAATAAAAACCATAGGATTATAGTAATATATTTGGGAAACAAATTCAAGAAAATTCAATGCACATTTATGTTTTCATTAAAAACTATCAGAAATCTAGGAATAACTAAAGAATATTTAACAAAGCCTATTGCAAACATCAGTTAATGAATAAACTTTAGACACATTCTCTTTGAGACTAGAAATCAGAGAAGAATGTCTACTATCACCTTATTGAAAATCCTAATCAATACAACAACACAACAAAAAGAACAAAGAGATGTATGGATAGGAAAAAAAAATTAAGTCAGTATTCTACAGACATGATGATCAACTACACAGAAAATCTATCATAAACCAAAAAAAGAAAAAACTATAATAACTAACAAAAGGTTGAGCAGGTAACCAGATGTAGAGTAACTTACAAAAATTGACAGTGTCTCTCAATAGAAGCAGTATTAGAAAATAAAGTAGAAAAAAGCAACAGAAACTGAACATATTTTGCTATTAAGCTAACAAAGTATGCCTAAGACTGTTATCACAAAAAAAAAAGCTGAATTAAATAATTTTAAAGCAGATCTTATTCTTCCATGAATGGGATGACTTAGCATTATAAAGTGGTCAATTCTTCCCACAATTTATTTATAAATTCAACTGATTCAAATAAAAATTATAGAAGGATTTTTTAATATAAATTCAAATTGATTCTAAAATATATATCTGGAAAAATAAATTCTATAAATAGTGAAGGCAATGTAAAAGAGGAACAAAGAGAAGGGACTTCTTTTACCATATATGTAGATATCCCACAAAACCAAAAATAACCAACTGTAGAGCTGAGAAACAGATTCATGTAAATATGAACATTTAGTGTACGTCAGAGGTGCTTTCAGGAATTATCGGGTGATGTACAGATTATGTAGCAGATACAAATAGTAAAACTGAATTCATCATATTGAAAAAAAATAAGTTGAGTCCCTATAACCTACTACACGGCAACCATAAATAAAAGATTCAAGAGGAAAAGAATTATTTTTTAAATAACTGATACTCCTTAAATAATAGTGTCTCATTCCTTACTCTTAAAAATAAACAGAAAAACTATCAAAAATGAGAAAACTGAGTTTTGAATTCAATATGCAATCTTTTTTAGGCAGAGCCAGATAAAGACTCACCAGGACAGAATATATGTGAAGACATCGATAAACAGGAGAGAAATCAACCAAATCTTGGGCCCCAGGAACCTGCAAAACAAACAGATTGTCACAAAATATTCAAACAAGGCTATTAAGACCAACTACATGCATTTTTAATACTCCAGTGTAAAAAAAAAAAAAAAAAAAGGTCAGCTCTAGCATCTAACAGAGAAACAGAAAGCAAACTATGCTTCCAGAAACCTAGTTTGGGTACTTGAGCCATGGAGCTACTAAGCTATGTGGATATCATCCAGGCTGGGACACAGAACAGAAGAGTAGATAGCAGATAAGAACAACAGGGTCACTGGTCCTGCATCTGCTTTTAGAGATACATTTTGGGCCTTGGGCCTCCAAAGGGAAAAGAAGAAAGTGGGAATGTGACTTTGGTAACTTGACTTTGTCTTCTTAGACATCACTGTTTCAGTGGTCAGAAACAAAACTTGCCACTTAAATGGCCTGCCAGCCAACTTCTAAAGGGCATAAGAATCAGTAAATATTTAAGTCAGCATGCAATCAAAATACAGAAATACGCTAGGAAGAGAGAGAAGATGATGTTTTAAAAAAATAAGATAATGAATGGAAAAGTCAAGCTTAGAGTAATATCAGCAAATTAGAATATGAACAATATATACAGATTAAACCTGGACATCGAAAGAGAAAGTAAAACAAGAAACATCAGGTGAGAACTGCAGCACCATTACAGCGCTAAAATTGATTCATTACAATACTGACAATGAATAAGTCACAGTTTACTTTGACCTCAATTTCCTCATCTGAAAAAGGAAATTATCAGTTAACCTACAGGAATCTGACAAGAATAAAACACTGAAAGTAAATATTAAATAAAACAAAATAAAACAGAAAAAGGCAAAATTATGTAAAGAAATAATCAAAGACCTAGCTGAAGTTTTTACGGTAACGCTGGTAACTGTATGATTCATCAGAAGGTAAGCAACAGGCACTTTTAAATTGGGTTGGACTGATTCATGATTACAAGATCAGTTTCCTTTACTTCTTTTGGGGCGCTGCTCCTTCACCAAGACGCTGTTTCTAATGAAATCTAGTCATTCTACAATTCAACAGCACAACACCTACTTCCTTTTCCCTCCCAAACCACCACATATCTCTATATATTGGTTCAAATTTAATGACTATTCTGTTTATTTGCTTTGCATCCATGAGGACAGAGGTTAAAATCTCTGCTGAGGAACTTCATAGTTCTATATACTCTGTACGCACTCAAAACAAACTTCTAAGTGACCAAAACATTAAAGCATCTTCACAGGCTCCCTTCTTTGATTTTGAAGTGGAGATGTGAAGGAAATTTATTTTATATTTCCAGAAAACCAGGGCCTACTAGTGAAAACTGCAGCTAAGGGAACAACAATCTCAAAAGAAGAAACAGAAAATTACCATAAAATTATATTTGTAATAATACTTAGATTACCTAAAAATTACACACACATTTTAAAAAGATAAGAAAAGCATAGAAAAAGTTTTTGACCTCTGGAGGAAATGAACTTTTGAAAAATTTAGAATTAATGATAATAAGGTCATTTATTATAATTATGTAACTATAAAAAGTTTAAGAAAAATTTACCTAATTTTGAATAACAAACTTCATCACAACTTTGTTTATATGTTCCTCTTCATGCAGTTTATTTACTTTGTACTGCTTTGACTCAGAATTAGTTTCACTCAAAAGGAAACTGTTTTTGAGCCATTCCTCAGACAAAGCCTTGGCCTTTTCACATGTCAGACCCATCCTTACAGAATGAACATCCACGTTAGGGGACAGTTTCCCCAGAAATCTGTGACAAATAATCCAATGGAGCCCTTTACTAATGGGCTAAGAATATTGGTTTATCTGGGCCAACTAAAAACATTCTTACAATTAGGAGACAAAGGTCTTTCCTGTCATCTCCACCAAATATTTACAATCAAACCTATTCTCTGTGAAGCTACCTCGACATCATCACATTCGGCTTCCAGAGCCCTGACCTGGAATTATTGGCTTTGCTCTTTCCTAGCCTCTGAAATCACAATCCAGTTAAGTCCTCCTAAGCACACGCCTTCCTGCTTCGAAAGAGGTACACACAGAAATCTAGACAAGGAGAGAAGGAGCAGAAAGTTCACAAACTTTACTTCCACCTCACCCCGCCAATAGCCTACTGTTTAGAAATCATTTTCCCTCCATGTTCCCTTCTGTGAGGAACCCAGAGGAGAGCTGGGAGGAGAAAGGTATGTTAAGCATGCACTGACTCACGTTGCTTTCAGCTAGATGTGTTTTCTCTGCTTCCACTAATGAAAAAGAATGACTTCCATCTACAGAAAGGTGGAGGGAAAGCAACACACACTGTACGTGAAGGAATGCCACAGGTTTGGAAGGTTAAGGAATGAACTTTCAAAAACCTAAATAAATGCAAGTGGGGAAGAGCACCAGAACAAAAGTCGGTCTTTCCTGACTCACATAAATAGATTGGCCTGTTTTGAGGTTCACATTTTGATCCCCGTTTAAAATGCTAAATCTCTGTCAGAGCTGTCTTCATTCTTCTTCTCCCTTTACCCCTCCTTCCCCTCAAGTTGCAAAAAATGGTTCAAGCAAGTTTAGGTTTCAGCTGGGGCCAGAGGGAGGGAGTCCAAGGACACTTTCCTAAGCTAACAATGACTGCCTCTAATGGTTTCTGTCTCCTAACAAAAGCCATGACTCCTTCTTTATCAGCTTCATCTAATTTTTCCTTTCCAAAGTAAATAACACAGCCCTCGCATTTTACACATGTCCAAGTTTGACAAATCATTATCGACTGAGACTATAACTGATAAGAGATAACTTTGTGGTAGGACGTTGTCATTTCCTCTCATAAGGGCTTTCTTTTTGAGATACAGAAACATGATTAAAATAGTTAAACATTTCCTCTGCCTGGCAGTCAGGAACTCAAGACATTAAGATACTGGGGTCTGTATTTTTCTAGTTCAAATAGATCAATCTTCATCCCAACAGTAGCCACAAACAATATGTTTAAGATTATCCCGCTTTTTTAACTAGTTGTTTTCCTTAAGAATTCACAGGAAATAATTTCATCACCAAGGACAGCAGCTGCCTAATTCTCTATATAGTTTCTGAATGGAGTGCCTTTTGTCAGCTCAAACCTCTTTATTTTCCAGGAGCAAATAGTAAATAAAATTTTAGATTATGTAACTAAGAAATCTATGCCTCAGAGCATGTTTCAATATTACACAAATTAAAAGAACCTGGACATAATTTAAAATAACAGATAAATAACAAGCTGTTAAAAGAATGTACAGGTGACTGAACTCAGCATCCACAGGCAGACATCATGGAGGCAATGACCACATTTGATAATCACACATTCACATACCCACTAGAGACCATGTACATTAGATACCAATATATATGGCTAACCTGTCTGTTTCAATCTTACATTCTATGATAAATATTAAGAGCTTAAGTCAAAGCAATACTTCCTAATTATTGTCCATAGACTATTTGTTGTTAAATAGCATTACATCCTATCAGTACACCAGCTATCACATGATGTCACTGTATAGAGGACAAAAAGAGCCCAGAGACAGAGGAAACTGCAAATTAAGAAAAGTAAATTTATAAATGAGGTTAATGAAAAGTACCCTGAAAAAACAGTCCTATGAACCCCTGCAAACAATATAATTTAGGGAAGATAAAAAGATTCAGAGGAGAAACGGGAAAATTAGGTATCAAGAAGAAACATGAGTATTTCTGACTATGAAAATTCTTGCAAAATACCAGGATCTGATTTTTATGGTATGCTTTTCTTCTTTTCTAATACATCTTAGTTTGAGTCAAAAGAAAGTCTCTGAAAGTGGAAAGGTTAGTGAGTAAGTTTGTCTCAGAAATGACACAGAAATGTTTTTACTTTTTTTTTTTTAAAAAAAGAGATTTGGGTTTTAAAATAATGATGACATTAAAATTTTAACAGATATGTTCATTTAGTATTGTTATGACACACTTCTCCCTGCCCCCCCCAAAAGGAATTAGAAGATAGTAATTCACTCTACTATCTTTGAAGACTCACTAGTGAAGGAAAGCAGGGGGAAAAAAGTTTCTGCAGGTAACAACCTGATACATCCACCAGCTTTACTACTGGGTAAGCGTATCATTAGAAAACGGGAATGGGGTACAAGAAAAGATCCTTTGTCTCCCTCCACTCAAGAAGAGTAACAAACGGACTAAAGGAGATTTACCTATGCTACTGACAGAGATAGTACATGAAAACAGAAATGCATTAGTGTGCACCAGTCCTGTTGTTCACACAGCCATCCCAGGAGATACACACACACACACACACACACACACACAGGCCATTTATTTTTCTCTTAAGAAACTTTTCAAAGTAGGTAGATCACCCAAAGGGGGTATGATAGAAATTCACAAGGAATTTAGATATGTTTCTCACTAATTATCTGAGTCATTCCCATCTTGAAAATATTTCTGATTACCACTTGACACAAAACAGTACTTTGGTATTTGGTTTCTTGGTATTGGTAAATGAATGTAGGGACTCGGTGCCTATTTCTGAACATTGTTAGTTGGATCTCAAGTTGTTAAAATGTACCAGATATTTTTCTCAAGGGAGAAAACAAACAATTAGCTAAAGGGACACTGCCTTTGAATTCAGAGGATCAATTTGACTGCCCATATTATGTCTGGAAGCCAAGATATACCTGGCAAACATTTCTCACCAGTGTGCCTTTCTGAACTACCTGACTTCCAAACTTCAGAGAAAAGGGTAAAATTCATTGGGACATAAGCTTTAATACAGTTGGACTAAACACCACAGAAACACCAACAAAAATTAGAAAGCCTAGGATTCTAAGTGACTAGAATTATCAGAAGTATAAAAAATGTTCTAAGCCTTTGAACATATAAGAATGCCCTGACCAGAGCCCTAACGTAAAAAAGTATAGTATTTTTCTACTGAGCCTCTCACAAACTACTAGGATTCTTCCTGAGAAATCCCTAAGCAGATTACCACTAAATTTACTCGTTG